GTCAGGGTTGAGGCCGAAGGGAGCCGTGGGGTCGAGATGAGACTCGGCGGTTGCAGGAGGGACACTGAGGTCAGAGCTTGGCGTGGAGGGGGGCCGGGTTGGGATAGTCGGAGTTTGGGGTGGGGTTGGGGGATGCCGAGGTGGTGCTGAAGGGACAGCACTTTTCACTCCGCTGAGAGCCTCGAGTTCACGCTCCTGCTCAGGACCGGGAGAGGGCCGTTTGAAATGCTCCCCAGCACGGGGTGGTCTCTGGGACCACTGTGGGGGCGGTGTGTGGATAACTGCGGGCCATGGCGTCTGGGACAGAAAGTGGTCGGGATGGGGATCTGACCCTCTGGGGTCTTTCTCAGGGTGCCTGGGAAATAGGAAAAGTGAGGGGAGGGAAGGAAACTTGGGGGGCATTTGAGGCAGGAATCCTGGAGCCAAGGTGAAGGGATCACAGAAGAATTTTGGAGGTGACTTGTTCCCCTTTATGCTTCTTGGAAAACCAGGTACTTAGGGTAGGAAGAAAACTTGGGGGTCTGTGGAGTCAACGAGAGTTCTCAAAGGACTTGGAAGAGGGTCTGACTGGGCCCCTTTTCCAGGACTGGGTGTTCCTGACGAGATTTTGCTTTCTCTCGGATTATGGACGCCTGGACTTTCGTTTCCGATACCCTGAGGTGAGCCTTCTCCAACCATTCCCACACTGAGGCTGGATGCTTCCTTGGCCTCCCAAGGCAAAGGGCTACTCCATCTCCCCACACTCCTCCAAACACCGAAATCTCTGGGTCTGCAGGCCAAGTGCTGTCAGAACATACTCCTCTATTTCGACGACCCATCCCAGTGGCCAGCCGTGTACAAAGCAGGGGACAAGGTGAGGGCTGTGAGGAGGGTGAACTGGAAGGGGAGAAGGTCGAGACTGGCCAGGGAGTGACCATGTCCCTGCCTTCCCCAGGACTGCTTGGCCAAGGAGTCAGTGATCAGGCCTGAGAACAACCAGGTCATCAACCTCACCACCCAGTATGCTTGGTCAGGCTGTCAGGTATGGGCCCAGCCCCGGGGCCTGGGAAGGTGTTGAAGGTCAAGGGCCTGGACGTGGCACAGACAGGCTTCAGCGTTCTTGCTCCTCCCCAGGTGGTGTCAGAGGAGGGAACCCGCTATCTGAGCTGCTCCAGTGGCCGCAGCTTCCGCTCGGTGCGTGAAAGGTGGTGGTACATCGCACTCAGCAAGTGTGGGGTAAGGGGCTGGGCTGGCCACCTGGACCTTGCCCTCCTGCCTATCCTTGCCCTCCTTGCCCTTCTGCCTATCCCCTACCTGCCAAGGGCCCCCCTTAGGCCTCTATACTCCCCACAGGGAGATGGGCTGCAGCTGGAATATGAGATGGTCCTCACCAATGGCAAGTCCTTCTGGACGAGGCATTTCTCAGCTGATGAGTTTGGTGAGCATATGGGGACCAGCAGCCAAGATCTTTGACGGAGCGCAGAACTGGGTGCCTGCTGAGGGACACCCAGCCCAAATGAACCGTTTCCTCCTTCCACCACATCGGCAGGGATCCTGGAGACGGATGTGACTTTCCTCCTCATCTTCATCCTCATCTTCTTCCTTTCCTGTTACTTTGGATGTGAGTCCAGCACATGGTGCGGGGAGGTTAGAAGGTATGGGGGGCCAAGGGGGAGATGAGCTGCTTTCCCTTCCTGTCTGTGAACAGTCTTCCCCTACTTCCCTCCTAGATTTGCTGAAAGGTCGTCAGTTGCTCCACACGACTTATAAAATGTTCATGGCTGCAGCAGGAGTGGAGGGTGAGGTTTAGAGTACCTCAGCTTTAGAGTTTTGTGAAAGGAGGGGCTGGGGGCCCAGACACCTGGGTCTGAGCGGGGAGGGACTGGGGGTCCTGGACTCCTGGGTCTGAGGGGTGGGGAGCTGGGGGTCCTGGACTCCTGGTCTGAGGTTGGAGGGGGCTGGAGGCCTGGACTCCTGGGTCCTGGGAGAGGAGAGGCTGAGGGCTTGGACTCTTGGGTCTCCTAGGAGGTCAGTGGGAGTAAATGGTCTAGAATCTCTTCATGGGGACAGAGGAGGGTTCTGGTCACCTGGATCACAGCACTAGGGATCAGTGGTGCCCCAAAGCTGGTTTCTGTCCTTTCCTCTCTGCCCATCCTTCCCTCAGTCCTGAGCCTCCTGTTTTTCTGCATCTACTGGGGCCAGTATGCCACCGATGGCATTGGCAACGAGAGTCTGAAGATCTTGGGTGAGAATGACGGGCTCCAGGGTGGGCTCTCGGGCTCCTCTGCGACTGTGTCTGAGCTGCCCTCTCCTCCCTTCTCCCAGCCAAGCTGCTCTTCTCCTCCAGCTTCCTCATCTTACACTCGATCTCACCTCTCTGTCCCTCTAACTGACACGCCTTTCTCTAAAGAAGGCTGTGGTCAGTCCACCGAGAGCCCAGCCAGGACTTTCCCTGCATGTGACGAAACGCCGGCTCATCCTTCTGGGGAAGGGATTCACGGTGACACGGTGCCCAGGCTGGGTTGGGAGGGAGTGCTGGGGATGGGGTGTGGCTGGCCTAGAGATGGGGTCAGGGGGGCGGGTTGGGGGGTGGCGGCCCCTTCCTCCCTGACAGCCCCACCCCTGCCATCTTCCCTCATGGCCTGCTGCCAGGGGCCGCATCAGCCACTCAGGCTCTGTGAAGCTGTCTGTGTACATGACCCTGTACACCCTCACCCACGTGGTGCTGCTCATCTATGAGGCCGAGGTGAGTCCCGCCTGCCACTGCCCAGGCCCTGCCCCCCACCCCAGCTTTCAGTGGCCTCCCCCACCTGTCTGCAGGCCCTTCCCCACATGGAGCTCTTCCTGGCTCTCTCTCTCCCACTCTGATTTCCCGCCTTCCCATCTGTTTCTCTAAGTGCATTCCTCCCCTCTTCCCGGTCTCACTCAGTAGCTTCTTCCTCCTCCCTCCGTCTCTCACTGTCTGTCACATTTATGCTCAATGTCGTGACCAAGATTTCAGGAGTCACACAGACCTGGCTTCCCCACCTCCCAGCTGGCTTGCCTCGAGTGATGGTCCCCCTCTCTGGGCCTGTTTCCTCCTCTGTAAAATTAGGAGGGTCTTACCTCCCCAGGGGCTCCTCTAAGGCTTTACCTCTCGGCTTTGGCTTTAGCCAAAAAAGCTTCTCTCTTAGCTTCAGTTGCCCACTCTGTGAGTTGGGGTGATCATGAGACCTACTTCATGGGAGTTGTTGCAAATGGAAAGCTTCCACACGGTGGCGTTAGGGGATGTATTCTCTTCCTCTTTGTCACCCTCTCTGTACCTTTATATGCTTCTGTCTCCATCCCTTGCTCTCCTGCTTCTTCTGTCCTGACCAAGTACTCTGCCCCTGGGCGCCCAGGGGTGGGGTCTCGGGTCACTCTGTGGAGGGTAGGAGTCCAGGGCTATGACAAATGCGCTCTCTCTTGGGTCCAGTTCTTTGACCCGGGCCAGGTACTGTATACGTATGAGTCACCGGCGGGCTACGGGCTCATCGGGCTGCAGGTGGCGGCTTACGTGTGGTTCTGCTATGCTGTGCTCGTCTCTTTGCGTCACTTCCCAGAGAAACAGCCCTTTTACGTGCCCTTCTTTGCTGCCTACACCCTCTGGTGAGATGTGCTGGGCCCCCAACCTGTCCCTGCCTCCTGGGGCTTCCTAGAAGTGGCTGTCCCCAACTCAGACCCTCCTCAGTGAGACAGATGGTTTTTCAAGTCAGGCAGCTGTCACCAGAGTCTGCCACTACTCACTGAGTGACCAGGAAAAAAATCACTTTCCCAAAGTAAGAAAAAAAAAGTGCCGTAGGTTGCTTACCCACAAAGAAAGTTTGTCAAGAGTATCTCTTGCAAGAAATTATTTTGAGTATGCACAGGGCACCATATTAGGTCTGCATGTCTGGCACATAGTAAGTGTTCAGTAAAAGCTAGTTGTAGTTTTTATTGTTCAGCGTAATATAGAGGTAAAGTAGGCACGTTCTAAGCCAGACTGCCCGGGGTCAGATCGCATTTCTAAAGCTTGTAAACCATGGGACCTCACACAAATCAATTAACTTCTCTGCCTCCGTTTCTTCACCTGTTTAATGGGGATGGAAAATTGCACCTGCCTCCTAGAGTCACTGCGAGCACCCTTCTGGGTGACGAAATGAGTTTATATATGTGGAATGCTTAGAAACAGGTCTGGCATGTAGTAAGTCCTTAGTTGTTACTATCATATGTTAACAATTCATCAAACATCTATTGATTTCTTATTAGGTGCCAAGATGTGGGTTGGGGCGGGGCTGAGTTCAGTTCAACCTAGTCCTCGCCTGCAGAATTTCCCATGCCAGTGGGAGTCCTGCCTCCTTTTAACCTCTGACTTCTGAAGGTCACACTGGCTTCTCTCTCATTTGGGACCCACCTGGGGCCTGTGTGTATGCAAGACGAGGGAGTTGGGGACCAAGGGGTGGAGTGGAGGGCTAGGGCAGCGTCTCTACCAACCCAATTCATTCCCTTCAGGTTCTTTGCAGTTCCTGTCATGGCCCTGATCGCCAACTTTGGGATCCCCAAGTGGGCGCGAGAGAAGATTGTCAATGGCATCCAGCTGGGGATCCATTTGTATGCCCATGGCGTGTTCCTGGTGAGGATGGGCTTCCGGTGGGGTGGGAAACCTATGGGCAGAGGATGCATGAGGCTCCCTACCCGATCTGCCTGAACCTTCTGTCCTGGGCTCTTGATCTGTTTCCTTCACTTCATCCCTCCAGTCATTCACCAGACACTTATTGAGAGCCTGCTGGGTTCCTGCAGCTACTCTCCTGTGTGCCCCAGACTCCACACTCTTCTATTCCTCCCTCCTGCCTAGTCCTGGACATTTCTCCCAACCCGGCCTCTTTCTTTGCCCCTCTCCCCATTCTCATTTCTGACCCTGTGTCCCCAGACTTTCATGTATCCCTTCTGGATCCCCACTGCTTTCCTCAAGCCCCCAGATCTCTACTCCACGCTTCTCCCCTCACATTCTCCCATCTGTGCTGCTCCATCACAGGCCATTGTTCAGGAAGAAGCAGCTGGGGTGGGCCAGGCTTGGTTGGGCTCTAGAGCCCTAGATCCGAACAGCATCAGGAGGGAACCAGCAACGAACCTCGTCTTTGCTCTGGTTTATATTCCTATCTGGACTTCTGGGTGACGATTATATTCATTCATTCATCCATCCTTCCATCCATCCATCAACCATTCAGTGGGCACCTGTGTTGAACCAGCCTGTTTCATGCTAAGAACACTCATAAGCATTTATTCCTGCCCTCTTTTTAAATTGCCAGAGAAGCCCCAGGACAGAATGGTAACAGTCATTGGACCCGCTATACAGAGAAGAGAAGCTAAGGCCCAGAGAGGGGAGGTGACCTGCCAGAGCTCCATGGCCTTTGATGGCAAGGCAGGGACTTTGGCCCCAGTGCTTTTCCAGCAGACCACAAGGTCTGGCATGAGAGGGAAACAGACAGGGAAATAGGGATCACTGAGGGCCCCAGCTCCTGATGCCAGGGGTCCACCATGTGCTCTATATAGGAAAGGTGCTCATCTATCAAGGGAGGGGGCCGGGTCCCTCATCTACTACCCCAGAGCCTGACTTAGGTACAGACTCATCTTCCTGAGATAGTGCATCTTGAGGCTCTTTGAGAATTCAGAAAGGGGCAGAGAGAGGGCGAGAGAACCCACCATGTGCCAGGCTCTGCATAGCAGTTTTTGTTTCCACTCTCTTTCCAAGTAGGCACTGCAATCCCTTTTCCCCATTGAGGCTCAGAGAGTTTAATCGACACGCCCCAGATCCCACACTGCGGGGCCGTGAGGTGGGGTGCAGGCTCAGAACGCCAAACGCTGTGCCCTTTCTGCTGTATTTCACCTTCAGCTGGTTTCCTTCCTAAAAATGCTCACGTTAGCTCAGCACAGCTGCGCTGCTGACATTCCACTGCTCATTGGTTTCGGCTTCTTGATCATTTATTCAGCACAACCTTAGAGGGACTGTGCTGGGCTTCCTGGGGGCAGCGCTAGCGTCACATCCAGTCCCCGCCTTTCTACCAGGCTAACTGGGGAGACACCTCGACATTCAATCAATATTTATTGAGAGTTTCTATGTGCCAGGTACTGTTCTAGAAGGGGATCCAGCAGGGAACAGAGCAGTCAAATTCCTGTTCTCATGGAGCTAACGTTCTAGAGTCTATCAGTTGCTGTTCAATCGAACTTTCTGTGTTTATGAGAATACCCTGTGGTTTTTGCTGCTAGTGTGACTGAGAAACAAAAAAATTTAGTTTAATTTCGATTACCTTAAATAGCCACATATGGCTAGTGGCTACCATCCTGGACAGTGCAGGATGCGAAGCTTAACGTCAGTGATAACTCAGTGATCAGGCCTCTGACGGAGGGAGCAGGGGCAGAGTGGTGGGAGTTGTGACGAGGAAGGTCAGAGCTCAGAGCAGGCGCCTAATACCGTTTGAAGGATCTCAGGGAAGAGTGGGGGATGTCAAGTGAAGGAGAATCTTTAGGATCTCATGTTTATGGAGATATCCTGAGGCTTGGACAGTGCTTCTCCAACCTGTACCCGGCCCCTCGTCCCAGATCATGACACGCCCGTCGGCGGCCAACAAGAACTTCCCGTATCACGTGCGCACATCGCAGATCGCCTCGGCCGGGGTCCCGGTGCCCGGAGGGAGCGAATCCGCGGATAAGGCCTTCCCGCAGCACGTCTATGGGAACGTGACGTTCATCAGCGACTCGGTGCCCAACTTCACGGAGCTCTTCTCCATCCCCCCGCCCGCCTCCTCCGTAAGCCCCGCGCCCCCGGCGCCCGAGGAGCTGCTGGCGCCGCCCCTGGAG